GCCGAGCCAAAATGTGGGGTTTTTTTAATCTTATCACAATCATAGACCAATTACCGTGTTTCCCTGAAAATAAGACACTGTCTTATATGTGGTTTTTCTTAAGAAGACATACTAGGGCTTATTTTTGGGGGATGTCTTCCTCTCCACACTGAAATATATGGCATAGCTATGCAGCGTATCTGCATAGCCACACCCATCACTGGGTCTTATTATCAGGGTAGTGCTTATATTTAACAAATGCATAGAAATCCTGCTAGGGCTTATTTTGGGGGTAGGTCTTATTTTCGGGGAAACACAGTAACCAAAGGACTAAAGTCAAGGATAACGATGGTTTTGAAATAAAGTTAAAAACAACTCATGGGGACAGTGCCTGTGAATCAGTGAGTAGGGCACCAGCACCATATACTGAGGGTGGCAGGTTCGAACCTGGCCCTAGCCAAACTACAACAAAACATAGCTCCAAACTACAACAAAACATAGCTAGGCATTGTGGCAGGCATCTGTGGTCCCAGCTATTAGGGAGATTGAGGCAAGAGAATCGCCTAAGCCCCAGAGCTGGAGGTTGCTGTGAGCTGTGATATCATAGTACTCTACCGAAAGCAACAAAATGAGACTCTGTCTCTTAAAACAACAACAACAACAACAACAACAACTCATGGCTGGGCATGGTGGCTCACACCTGTAATCCTAGTACCTGGGAGGCTGAGGCAGGAGGATCCCTTGAGCTCAGGAGTTCAAGACCAGCCTGAGTGAGAATAAGACCCCATCTCTACTGAAAACATAAAAATTAGCTGGGTCAACGTTATGGTAGGCACCTGTAGTCCCAGCTACTCAGAAGGCTGAGGCAAGAGAATCACTTAAGCCCAGGAGTTTGAGGCTGCTGTAAGCTGTGATGCCATGGCACTCTACCCACAGTGACAGAGTAATACTGCCTCAAAAAACAAAAATCTTAGGCGGCGCCTATGGCTCAGTGAGTAGGGCGTCAGCCCTATATACCAAGGGTGGCAGGTTCAAACCCAACCATGGCCAAACTACTACAAAAAATAGCTCGGTGTTGTAGCGGACACCTGTAGTTCCAGCTACTTGGGAGGCTAAGGCAAGAGAATCACCTAAGCCCAAGAGCTGGAGGTTGCTGTGAGCTGTGATGCCATAGTACTCTACCAAGGGCGACAAAGTGAGACTGTCAAAAAGAAAAACAACAACAGAAAACAAAAATCTCCAAAAACTCACCATCCTGGTAACTGCAGCCTCACAAAGCAATAGTGTCCACTACTCTCCTCCTCTTTGGTTTGGAGTATGGTACCTTTAATGCCTACAACTAGCACAGCAGTAGCCAACAGCAGGCTCAAACAGCCAGGGAATAGGACCTGGTGACCTGCTCACATGGGATCAAAGTGAGCAGAACGGCTTCCGTGTTGGCATCAGCATAACTGTCACCATGTTCAAAGGAATAAGAGTAAATACTATTTGCAGTGGTTATACGACTAAAATAGGCCCAAGCACAACGGAGACACCTGTAAGAAGCATCGACACCATTGAACTCTGAATTAGAAGGGTACTGTCTGCTTATAGAGGGGAAACAATGTCCTAAAGGCCACCTCTAATCCACTGGTATGGAGGAGCCCTAGGCCAGCCTGCTGCGGAGACACTGCCTATACCAGAGGCAGGGCTAGGTGGGGCTGCATGGGACCCTAGGGCTCTGGAAACCCACTTGGCATGCTGTGTTGGCTTCATTTTTGGTTTACACTTCCTTCTGCTTCTTTGTAGTTTTCTCTTCAAAAAATAAAGCTCTACTCTTTCTTTCTAACTATACATTTCATTTATAAATGCAAGGCTAAAATTTTGAAAAGGGACCAAACTGATGCTGAAAATTGAATACTTTAAAACCATGAGAAGATAAGAATTTCAGGTTGAAAGCTTAAATAAAAACTTAAATATGTAACTTAAAAGTACTTTTACAATAGTATTTTTATGAAGTATTAACCACTGGACTAGATGCACAGAGAAATGCTAAACCACTTTAACATGAGCACCACATTTTCTACCTGCTCATATAAAGGAAGCAGTCACACGTGATTCTAAATTCACTACCATGCAGAGTGACCACAGAGTTTGGAAAGAGAATATTACTTCACTGTGTGACAGACACCATGACAGCAAGGATCCATGCAGTGATGCACATTGGCCTGTGTTTCCAGACTTCTAGGCCATTCTTTTCACACAAACACAAAAGCTCAAAGCCAGACTACTCTTACCTTCCAGCAGCTCCTCAAAATCATCCACAAAGAACTCCTTCAGTGGGGGGCGCTTTGGCCTCTTCAGGGTGTTCAGAAGCTGCTGGATCTTGGAGGACACTCTGCTGTTCACAGGGACACCTGTCACGTGAAGGACAGAGGTATAGTGAGGTCACATCTCTGAAGAAGTGGAGATGGGCACAAGATCCGGGGACAGATCACATGAGTGCATCAGAATTCACACACCCAGCTAGGTGCTGGGTTCATCATGTGGCAATTTTGGAATTAATTCATTTAACAGCATTTACTGATGACCTCCAGAAAACAGAATTTATTCTAAGGTAGTAGCTATTAAAGTGGTCCAGCGACCCCAAGGGGTGCCCAATGCCCTTTCATGGGGAATCCGGGGGTCCAGCGACCCCAAGGGGTGCCCAATGCCCTTTCATGGGGAATCCGGGGGTCAAGACTACTCTGTGATAATGTTTACAAGGTGTTTGCATCCTTCCAGATGTTTGTGTCATCCCCACCAGAAGAGAGACTGGCAAAAATAAAAAATAAGCAAATTCCTCTCACTAAATATTTGCTATTTTGAAAATTGTTTTAGAAGTATGTATAAGTATAGGCTATTTATGTTAACACATAATGAGCTGGCTGTTACTGTTATTACTTATTTTATTAGAGACAGTGTCTCATTCGGTCAGCTAAGCTGGCATGCAGTAGCTCCATCATAGCTCACTGTAGCCCTTAACTCCTAAGATCCCTCCTCAGCCTTCCATGCAGCTGGGATTATAGGCACTTGCTACCATGCCTGGTTAATTTGTTTTTATTTTTTGTAAAGACAAGGTCTTGCTCTTGCTCAGACTGTTCTTGAATTCCTAAGCTCAAGTGATTTTCCTGCCTTGGCCTCCCAGAGTGCTAGGATTACAGGTGTGAGTCACTGTGCCTGGCCTTATTGTAATTTTTAAATGTATTAATGATTCCTAGAAATCTGTTAAAATTAAATAATATACTTCCTAAAAAAGATGGGTTAAAATTGAAAGCATAGCATAAAGACATGAATGTTAAAAATAAAAATGCAACATATTAAATTATGTGGAATGAAGTTAAAATTGGAACTTAGAAGAATGCTTAGAGTTTCAAATACTTATATTAGGAAACAAGAAAGGTAGACTCAATGATCTAAGAGTCACCTTAAGAAACCAGAAAAAGGCTCTCTGCCAGAAGCTCTGGTGCTTTTTAGTCCTTCTGACCAAAAGCTCTGGTGCTCTTTTACCCTTTTCTGTTTAATAAAATCCTATCTTACCAATAAAAAAAAAAAAAAAGAAAGAAACCAGAAAAAAGGTGGCACCTGTGGCTCAGTGAGTGGGGCACCGGCCCCATATACTGAGGGTGGCGGTTTCAAACCCAGCCCTGGCCAAACTGCAACAAAAAAATAGCTGGGCCGCGTGGCGGGTGCCTGTGGTCCCAGCTACTTGGGAGGCTGAGGCAAGAGAATCGCCTAAGCCTAGGAACTGGAGGTTGCTGTGAGCTGTGATGCCATAGCACTCTACTGAGAGCGAAAAAGTGAGACTCTATCTCTGAAGAAATAAAAGAAAGTAGAAGAAGTGCCATGCGCACAGGGGCATAAAGATCACTTGAATGCAGGAGTGTGAAGCTGCAGTGTGCTGGGATTGTGCTACTGTGCTCTAGCATCTGTGACAAAGTGCAGCCCTATCTCTTAAAAAAAAAAAAAAGGTGGCACCTGTGGCTCAAAGGAATGGGGTGCCAGCCCCATATCCCATATGCCAGAGGTGGTGGGTTCAAACCCAGCCCCAGCCAAAAACTGCAATAAAACCCCACCAAAAACCAAAAACCAACGTATAACCTAGAGATGAAATGGACAAATTCCTAGAAACACAACACACACCATGACTAAGACACAAAGAAATAGAAAATATGAGTAGACCTATGGCTAAGAAGGAGACTAAATCAGTAATAAAAAATCTCCCAAGAAAGAAAAGGCACTGGGCCTGATGGCTTTGTTGGTTAATTCTGCTAAACATTTAAAGAAAAACTAACACCAATCCTCAAACTTTTCCAAAAAATTGAAAAGGATAGAACATGTCTAAACTCATTCTATGAGGACAATATTCCTCTGCTACCAAAGCCAAACAAAGACATTAAAGAAAACTACAGACCAATAATCCCTATGAATATATGATGCAAAATCCTCCAAAAATACTAGCAAACTTAATTCAA